ATACAGTAGTACTGTGTTGTCAGTGATGGCAAACATTGATATGTTCAGGTGGATAGATGGGTAGACAGGCTGAAAAACTAGGTATGTCTATGCAGGGGGGAGTGTGCCCAGGACCGTGAATAGGTTTGGCAGAGACAATGTTTCTACAAGTGTATTTTTATGTTCTGTAAGAATTTCCAGGTGTACAGTAGAGCTGACAAGGAACAAAGTTGTAGTACTTCTTGGCCACAGCCTGCAACCCGGAGGGAGTGAGTAGTTGGACCTGTGGGCTCGGGACTATGGTCACAGGGGACATCAAGCTCAACTGGCATAAAATAATATACAAAAACATTATTCCACTCCCTACTTTGCCAAGTAGTGCCAGGGATCTTAAAAGCCTGCAAGCAGCCATCTAGATGCAATGATTGGTCTCCTCTCGTCCAGAGCAAAGAAGAACGAAGAAAACCAAAGACACATGGAAAGAATTAGTCCAAGGGACTGGTACACCATACCATCCTCAGCCTATATGACTATGAGATCAGAAGAACTAGACAGTGCCCGGCTAACACTGTCAACCACACAGAGAGGAGTCTATGTAGGAGATCCTGGATAGAGTGGGAGAACAATGTGAAAAAAAAACTCAAAATCATTAAAAAAAAAAAAGGAACAGGTTTACTGGTCTGATAGAGCCTGGTGAAACCTCTGAGACTATGGCACCTAGCTGCCCTTCAGGTCTGGAATTTAACCCACTCCTGTGTCTTCCAGTCAAATAAAAGACAGGCATAGGAACTGAACATTTACATTAGGCAGATACACTCAGTGGAGAGAACAATCATGGGAAAATAGAAGGGCTGTATATGCACAGGAAGATAGCTCAGGGGGCAGGAGTGCATGTCAGGGAAGGACCCAAGGAAGAGGTAACTATGGGGAGAAAGTAGGAAGAGAGCTGTTGCATTGTGGTCAATTGCAGTCAGTGTCATGAAACAGAGTGTATGTGAATTGCTGGACAGAAAGTGAACTATGACCCAAATCATAATTAAAAGTTAAAAAAAAAAAAAGGAAGAAGAAGAAGAAGGTAGAAGGAATAAAGAGAGTAACAGTACCAAAAAAGTTGGTCGACATTCAAAAAGTTCAGGAGATTACATATGATCAGGAACCAATGGTCATGAGGGAAAATGTCCAAGCTGCACTGCAGGAACTGACAAAAAACATAGGCTCCAGGAACTGATGGAATACCTATTGAGATGTTTCAACAAATGGATGGCAGCAATGAAAGCACGTACTCATTTACACCAGAAAATTTGGAAGACAGCTACCTGGCTAACTGACTGGAAAAGTCCCATGTTTGTGCCCATTCTAAAGAAAGGTGATCCAACAGAATATGGAAATTATTGAACATAATCATTAATATCTCATGTAAGTGAAATTTTGTTGAACATAGTTAAAAAATGGTTGCAGCATTATCTTGGCAGAGAGCGTCCAGAAATGCAGGCTGAATTCGGAAAAGGACACCAAATGAGGGATGTCATTGCTGATTTCAGATGGATCTTGGCTGAAAGCAAAGAATACCAGAAAGATGTTTACCTGTGTTTTATTGACTATGCAAAGGTATTTGATTGTGTGGATCATAACAAGTTATGGATCTCATTGCAAAGAATGGAAATTGCAGAACACTTAATTGTGCTCACGAGGAGCCTGTACATAGACCAGGAAGCTGTCATTCAAACACAGCAAGGGAATACTTTATAGTTTAAAATCAGGAAGGGTATGTGTCAGGATTTTATACTTTCACCATATTTATTTAATCTGTATGCTGATCAAATCGTCTGAGGAGATGGACTTTATGAAAAAGACCTTAGCATCAAGATTGGAGGAAACTCATTAACAAACTGTGATATGCAGATGACACTATCTTGCTTGCTGAAAGTGAAGATGACTTGAAGCACTTACTGATGAAGATCAAAGATTACAGTCTGCCCTGTGGATTACACCTCAACATAAAGAAAACAAAATGCACACAACTAGGCCAATAAGCAACATCATGATAAATGGAGAAAGGATTAAAGCTGTCAAAGATTTCATTTTACTTGGATCCATAATCAACACCCATGAAAGCAGCAGTTAGGAAATCAGATATCATATTGCACTGGGCAAATCTGTAAAAGCCCTCTTTGAGGTGAGAACAGCAAAGACGTCACTTTGAAGACCAAGTTGTGTCTGACCCAAGGCATGGTATTTTCAATAGCCTCACATGCATGTGAAAGTTGGGCAATGAATAAGGAAGATCAAAGAATAATTGATGCATTTGAATTACAGTGTTGGTGAAGAATACTGAATATACCATGGATTGCCAGAAGAATGAACAAATCTGTCTTTGAAGAAGTACAGCCAGAATGCTCCTCAGAAATGAGAATGGCCAGACTTTGTCTCACTTATTTTGGTCATGTTGTCAAAAGAGATCAGTCCCTGAAGAACGATATCACACTTGGTCAAGTAGAGGGTCGGAAAAAGGGGAAGATCCTCAATGAGAAGGATTAACATAGCTGCTGCCACATAGGGCTCAAGTATGGCAAGGATTGTAAGGATGATGCAGGACCAGGCACTGGTTCATTCTGTTGAACATAGGATTGCCTGAATTGGAACTGCCTGGATGGCTCCTAACAACTGTGAAAGAAGAGCAAATCAGACTGTGAGTACAGTAGTCATGTCTGGCATAACTTATTCAAGACCGTAAGCCACTAGAGAAGAGCCTTGACTTGTTCACCTTTCTATCTCATCCCAGTTCTTGATACACTCAATGGGTGCTCAAAAATGTGTATGACTGACCAACGGCTGAAAGAATGAGTGGAGGGAAGACCCCAAACCAATGTTGTCAAGGCAACTATGACTCATGTGACCCCACACGTGTCAGAGAAGACCAGCTCCACAGGATTTTCAGTGGCTGTAATCTTAGGGAAGTAGATTGCCAGGCTTTTCTTCCACAGAGCACTGGGTGAATTCAAAGCACCAACCTTTCTTTCTTTCTTTTTTTTTTTTTATTGTGATTTGGGTGAAGATTTACAGAGCAAATTCACTTTCCATACAGCAGTTCACATATACTTTGTCTCATGTCATTGACTACAGTTTACCACAATGCAACAGATCCCCTCCCACTTCCTCCCCATAGTTACCTCTTCCCAGTTGTCCATCCCTCCATACTCTCCTGCCCCCTGAGCTGTCTCCCTGTGCATAAGCAGCCCTTCCTTCTCCCAAGATTGCTCTCTCCAAGGTGTGTGTCTACTTGAGGTAAATGTTTAACTCATATGCCTGTACTTTGTTTGGCTGGAAACCACAGGTAAGTGTTCAATTCCAGACCTGAAGGGCAGCTAGGGGCCATTGTCTCAGTGGTTCCACCAGGCTCTATTGGACAGCAAACCTGGTCCCCACCTTCTTTTTTTTTCCTCCAAATGATTTTGAGTTTTGTTCTACATTGTTCTCCCTCTCTATCCAGGATCTCCTACATCCCTTCCAAGTGGATGACAGTGGTAGCCAGGTGCCATCTAGTTCTTCTGGTCTCATAGTTGTATAGGCTGCAGATCGGATGGTGTACCAGTCACTAGGACCAATTGTTTCCATTAATTTTGTTTTCTTCTTTCTTCTTTGCTCTTGACAAGGAGAGACCCATCGTTGCATCTAGATGGCAACTTGCTAGATTTTAAGATCCCAGTCGCTACTCACCAAAGTAGGAGGCAAAGCACCAACCTTTCAGTTAGTAGCCAAGCACAAATAGTTTGAGCCACCCAGGTAATCAAGTTGATACTGACTCAAAGTAGCCCTATAAGATCCAGTAGAACTGCCCCATAGAGTTTTCAAGGCTATAAATCTTTATGGAACCAGATGTTCTCCCACAGAGCAGCTGGTGGTTTCAAACTGTCAGTCTTTCAGTTAGCAGCTGAGCTCTTTAATCACTGCACTGCCAGGGCTCCTCAAAAGGAAGGTAAAAAGAAATCACTTCCATCGAGTCCACTCTGACTCTATAGGACCAAGTAGAACTGCCCCACGAAGTTTCTGTTCATCTTAACAGAAGTAGACTGCCTCACCTTTCTCCTGTGCATTGTCTGGTGAGTTCGAACCTCTGACCTTTCAGTGAGCAGCCAGAAGCCTTAACCATGAAGGGAAGTTAGAGTGCTGTTGTTATTGTTTGCTGTTGTTGTTGTTGTTATGTGCCATCAAGTTGGACCCAACTCATAGCGACCCCTCCTTGGGTTTCCGAGGCAGTATCACTATGGATGTAGATTGCCCCATCTTCCTTCCGAGGAGTGACTGGTGGGTTTGAACTGCCAGCTTTCTGGTTAGCAGTCAAATGCCTTAGGCACTATGCTACCAGAGCTCCTTGTTATTGTTTGGCAACTATAATTTGTGAAGAATTTGCTTAGTCCCTGGAAGTTTCTTCACATGGATTATCATTTGAATACTTCATTTTCTCCAGAGTTTGGAGAAAAGTCTAACCAAGAGCAGAAGGTTGTGAGGCTACTGGGCTTCCCACTGTGTACCCTTCTCCCCTTCCCCATCAATTCATACAAACACACACCCCACACCACCTTGTGAGTACAGGTGTGGTTAGGAGCACTTGGCGAAGGTTTGATTCAGAGCCCCCTCCTTGACCTCTGCTGCAGTCAGACAACCCTGGGTGTGCAAACAGATGACAGCACTGAAGGCCTTTCAGCTGTTGAATAGTGTGGTCAGAGGCACGGGAACCTTGTTTTGGTTTTGCCCTTTTAAATAGCACATGCTTGATGGGAATGTCAGCAGAAATGTCCAGGCTGAATAGACACTTTTAGTTCCCCTCTTCCTCCCCCTTATTACTCAGTATCTTGAGGACATAATGGAACCTTTCTTGTGTAAGTCAGTCTGGTTGGGGAGGCGGGGTGGGGATTACTCAACCATTTCCCTGGACAAACCCCTGCCGGATGGCAGAAAGTGTCACAGTTCTTGGACTCTGCAGACAGAGCAGACGTAAGAGCCAAAAATTAGGGTGGGCCCAGGCTCTGGCCCCAGGGAGACCCACTAAATGAGGCCATTTTCCCACCTATTTTGCAGAAGTCAGGTAACTGCCACTCTCAGGTTTCTTCTTTCAAATAAATGTGCAAATTTTTATAGCAGGAAACTGCCACCCCCAGATTCTACCAGTACAGGCTGTGCAAACTGGAATAAGTGGAAAAAGGCGTGTTCAGTGGCAAGAATATCACGAGAGGTGGACATCAGACATGAAAACTCGGCTGCAGTGGAGCCGGAGGATGATTGGCAGATAAAAATACGGCTGGGAATGTGTCTGTCACTTGGTCTTTCAAAACTAGGTGAGGCCTCTCATGCCTTTCTGTTCCAACTTCTGTGCCCCAGTGTTAAATGATATCCTACAATGAAACCAGAAATGTGGCCCTGCTGCCGGTAGAGCTAAGGAACTCTGGTGGCTCAGTGCCTACAGCATTTGACTGCTAACCACAAGGTTGACAGTTCAAACCTACCAACCACTCCACAAAAGGAAGACCAGGCAATATACTTCTGTAAAGATTTACCTCCTCGAAAACCCAAAAGGGTTTGCTGTGATTCAGATCTGAGATGATGGCAGTGAGTTTGGTTTTTTTGGTTTTTTGCCAGTAGAGCTTGGCACAGACAACCTTTTCACGCTGGCTCCTGACAAAATGGTGTTCATTGTTTTGATGAGGAGAAGCTAAGTTCCGTTGCCCCATAACCTTGAGGCCTGGCAGGGAAAGGGATTCATGGGGAATTTCCACACAGAAGAAGGAAAGAGAATGACGCTGCTAGCAGCCCTTGCCTTCTCAGAAGGAATCCTGGCAAACTGTGGGCAAATGGTAAAAACAGTTGCAAATGAACTGAGGGTGCCTTTCAGAGAAACCAGCAACCCAAATTTTGCTTGGACCCTTTGGCTCTCTTCTGTGGATTGCTGCATCTTCTAAGGAATTTACAAGGCTTTTTTCTTTTTTTTTTTTTCTCTTGTCTTTAATGGAGCTCTGGTGGAGTAGTGGTTAAAGCATTCAGTTCCTAACCAAAAGGTCAGTGGTTCAAATCTACCAGTGACTCTGCAGAAGAAAGATGAGGCAGTCTGCTGCCATAAAGATTTATAGCCTAGAAAATCCTATGGAGCATTTCTACTCCTGCAGGGTCACTGTGAGTCATGTTTGACTAGACAGCAGTGGGTTGGCAGTTTTTGCTTTTGCTTTTTTTCCTCTTTCTTTCTTTCCTTCTTCTTCCTTTCTTTCTTTCATTAGACTTATTATGAGGTAGTCCGTCCGTAGTGCAAATAGTTAAAATGAACAGCTGCTAACCAAAAGATTGGAGGTTCAAGTCCATGCAAAAGCACTTTGAAGAACTGCCTGGTAATCTACTTCAGAAAAATCAGTTGTTGAAAACCCTATAGATCACAGTTCTACAACACACATGGGGTTGTCATGAATCAGAATCAACCCACTAGCAACCAATAGGGGTGGTAGATAGGGAGGTAATTAAAAGAAGAGCATGGGCTTCTGACTCTCCCTTTTACCAGCTGTGTGACTTTGAGCAAGCCAATGACCTCTCTGTGCCTCAGCTGGCACATCTAAAAAATGGGAGTAATGATAGTACTTACCTCATAGAGTTGTGCTGAAGATAAAATCATATCTACTCATTGTGTTGTTGTTGTATGCCATCGAGTTGGACCCGACTCATAGCGTCCCCCTCCTTGGCTTTCTGAGGCAGTTATCACTATGGAAGTAGATTGCCCCATCTTCCTTCTGAGGAGTGATGGTGGGTTTGAACCACCAGCTTTCTGGTTAGCAGTCAAATGCCTTAGGCACTATGCTACCAGAGCTCCCTACTCATTGTGTACTAGTATGTAATCATAGAGCATCAATATCATGCACTTTAAATCAAGGCTTTAAACCTGTTCTTCCCCGTTTGACCCCGTGCTGAGATTTTGCATTCCCACCCCAGATACACTGAATCAGGATCTACCTTTCAACAAGATCCCCAGGTGATTCTGTTGTATACATAAGATATAGGTAATCCTGTGAGGAAATCAGATAGGTTTACCAACACAAGGGCAAAGTCATGTTGGTGCTTTTTTTTTTCTTTCTTTTTTTTTAAATTTTATTTTATTTTTGTGATTTGGGTGAAGATTTACAAAGCAAATTCACTTTCCATACTGCAGTTCACATATACTTTGTCTCATGTCTTGACCACAGTTTACAATG